ATCTCTCCATCCATCCATCCATCCATCCATCCATCCATCCATCCATCTTATCTAATCTATCTAATGAGTGTTTTGTACATACATGTCTCCACATGTGTGAGCGATGCCTGAGGAGGCCAGAAGAAGGTATCAGATCCCCTGGAACTGGAGTCACAGGTTGTTGTGAGCTGCCATGTGGGTGCTTGCAGTACTCTGAACACTGAGCTGCGTCACCAGTCCGCTGTTAAAATACTTTGGTCCACGTTTCACGAAGGTGCATTGTTCAGTAAAGTGGGAAATGGCTGCTTTGGTGCTTCGGGTGCTGTCGGATAACATGCTTAGCCTTCGTGGTAGAAGCTAGGGGCCTTATTTGTACGTTCTAAAAGTTCCCCACCAGTCACAAGGTTGTCAGGTCACACGTGAAGCTGGGCAGTAAATGGCACACAGGAGGACAAGATAGCTCAGGATAATTTGGCTCTGGATCTGTATCAGTCTCCATATTTCTGCTTTAGAGCACTTCCCAGGTTTCCACCAGGATCTATGATTACTTCAGCTGAACAGTGCCCTCTTCTGTTGTCAGATCAAGGGCGCTTTTGACTTTCCTTGTTTTTGAGGTACTGATTTAGGCCTTGCAGGTGCTAAGAAAGCACACTGCCCTGAAGTTCCAAGCCTAGCCCTTAAACTTTTCCTTCTGAGACAGGGTCTCACTCAGTTGCCAAAGCTGGGCTTCAACTCCTGTAACCCCAGGCAGGCCTTGAACTGCGTGGTTTCTTGGCAAGTCTTTCTTTGGAGGTGGAGGGTCTGTGTGATGGCTCCTTCTGCAATACTCTCTTTATATGATCCATCATCTTAGTTCCATCATCTCTCTTTTCTGCTCCCCACCTTTCCCTTGTATGCACCCTTGCAGACTCCTCTCACAAACCTTGCCTGCTAGAACTGTCGTTCCTGGTCTCACAGGCTTTCAAGCTTCTTTCTTCTCATTTCCCACCAGTCTGTGTGCTGATCCCCCAGGTCTCAGGCCGGCGGACATTGAATTCACCACCCTCTGGAGCTGCTCCGCTCTCACACGCAAAGTGAAGGCTGTCATTTTCTTTCAGTTGGCTTTGTGGGTGTTTTTTTAATTTGCTGTCCTTTTTAATCCCTTTGGCCTTTGGAGGATGTTTTGAGAGATATGCATTGAGGACTGCTATTATCATTAAACAAGTCAGAAGCCCAAAAGACCCAGGGGTACATGCCAATAGCCCCTAGTTTGGGAGATGGAAGCTCATGAGTCACTCAAGCCCAGGAGTTTCAAGGCTAGGCTGAGTAACAGAACAAATTCAAAACTATGCTGGCAAGACACATGCGGTGGGTAAAGGGGCTTCTGCCAACCCTGCCAACCTGTGTTCACTCCATGGTAGAAGGAGAGAACTGACTCCTGAAAAATGTCCTCTGACCTCCACATTTTGCATACATGTACAAATAACTAAATGTAAAAAAATAATAATTAAAAAAATAATTACATTATGAATGAAATAGAATGAATAATAAAATCAGGTTTAATGTACAGAAGTAAAAAATGAAAAAAAAATAAAAATGCACAAGAAATTTTAAAGAATTCTTGCAATAGAACAGATTTTTCTAACTTGACAATACTACTTCACCCAGGCGTGAAGGGAAGCCTGGCTGTAATTGCAGCGTTTGGGAGACTGGGAGGAAGAAAGTGGGGTTCAGGTCTAGCTTAGAAGCTGAGCAGGACCCTTTAAATCCCTCTAAGATACATTGCATTAAATGTTTCATGAAACTAAATTCCAGTCTGTACCAATTTCATCGTACGTGAGTGTCTGACTCACAGCAAACGACATATTGATTTGTGCGGTGGTTCTTTGCAGCTTACCGACTTTCGAGAAACCATTATGAAGATGTTGGGATTTAACTTGAAAACAGCAGACAAGGAAGTCATTAATCAGCTGAAGCTTGTCATCCAAGTTTATGAAATCTCCAGCAGATCAAAGATGGCTTCTCACCAGGAGGCTGGACAGGACAAGTGAGCAAGCTCTGCCTCTACTCGCTGCCAAGAACTTGGGTCCAGAGGTTTCCTGCAGCATCCAGGATACAGCTCCATTGTGAATAAAAAGCACCCGGAAAGTTTCACTTACGGCCTCTTCTGTCCTGTGTTTGCTGTTTACCTTCCCTTTGGGATGATCTTTCTTGACGCTATCCCTGGCTTAGTCTGTCTTGTCACTTATGACATATGGCACTTATCTGATTACTTTTACTATTTTAAACAGGATAGGAATCATAAACGTGTTCTGTATTATTTAGAACCATAGTCAATAGCCCATGTCTTGAATGAGTGACTGGATAAATAACCCCTCTTAGAAAGGGCAGGGAAGTTATCCTCTGTTGACCGAGTCTATCTCATTTTCTCAGCCGGGCACACGGATATCAGATATGACATGTTGAGAGGCTAGGAGGCCGTTGAGACTCCTTGTAAGTAGAACAGGGTAATAAACTGTGTTGTGGTTATTGTCCTAGTATTTACTAGTGTCTACCTAACATAGGCTCATTTTTTTCCTACCCAGTGGTTACAGCATTCATTTACATGTGTGTTTTGAGAGAGGGTCTTACTCTGTAGCTCAGGCTGGCTTCAAACTCAGAGCCTTTCCAGTTTCTATCTAGAAACCAACTCTAGAACCTAGAGGTTGCTTCGTGTGTGTGTGTGTGTGTGTGTGTGTGTGTGTGTGTGTGTGTGTGTG